TCCTTTTCCTCAGCACCAGTCTTGTTGAAGAAACCATTGTTTTCACTCCCAAGTCACAGCTCCCTTCTTCTTGGGTTGTTTACGTAGGCAGCGTGAAATAGTGACAATTAAATAAGGGTTAGGACTTAGGATGGCGTAGCGGAGGTTTTGGAAGATTTGAGGAACCGGGAAGGAAATGATTTGGCGCGCGAATTTGGTTTCGCGGGAAAATGGTGCTTGGCGCCAACCTGGTGAGAAGTTGTGGTATCAGCCTTCAGCCAGTGGGCCGGGTGTGGACTGTGGAGGTTCCGAGGTGGACTGCTTCCTTGACCGTTTCGTATTCGCAATTCACTTTGGTTATTGGGTTTGGGCTTTATTAACGTTTCTACTTGTAATAAATGCCTTCCAAGATCCAACGCCATGCCTGAAGACGGCCTTTGAAGAAACGAATCAAGATTAGTAGTGTGAGCATGTCGGGTTCGGGTTCGGGTCGAATTTGAAAATTTTTTACCCAAATTCGTTTTTTGAGTAGATTCGAATTCGACCCGTATATCCGATGAATCTTGATTTTAGAGTTTCGAAACCAGGTTCGAAAGGTCCGGGTCTAAAAGGTCCGAAATTAAATTCAAAGTCAATCACACAATCAATCTCCAAATTTAAACAAATCAAATTACAAAACTAAATCACAAATAATTCACAATATTCAATTCAAAACTGACCACAAATTAATCTATAAAATTATTACTAAATTATTAATTTGGTAAAAGAATTTATTTAGAAATATTTGTATTTTATAATTATTAATATATTGTTTGAATCCGGGTCAGAATCCTATATTCTATATCCGACCCTTTTTTTTTATTAGAGTTAACGGATCAGGATCCAAATTTGAGTATTGGATTATTTTTCAATCCAAACCCAACAAAATTTATTGGGTCCGAATCCAAATCCGATCCGTTGACAACCCTAATCAAGATTCAGTTAAACCACATAGTCTGATGGATGTGGACGATATCAGTCCGACCCAATTGGGTTATCAATCTCAAAATTAGGAAAATAAATAAATAAAATGAATAGTTTCAAATCAGGTTGTTGCGATTTAATCTGAATCATTTACTAGACTGCACCTACAACTAGAGATAATTTGGACCCTGGAGAATCACTTTCATGTCCCTCTACGGACGAAACACTTTAGTGTCATAAAAAAAAAAGAGTAAATCTTTATATACATCGATAGTGTATATACTATCACCGTTTGATTCATGATATATGTGCAAAAATTGAATTTTAAATTCAAATTTTACATAGTTGTCATTCATCCAACACTAACAGTGTATATACTATCGGTGTAGGAAAAGTTAATACTAAAAAAATAGGAAAAAAAAATTTAGTGTCAAATGCAGGTAACACTAGCAACTTAGCAGTAGTAACATATCTCACATTTTCTTCGAGAGAATAAGAAAAGTCATAAGTCATTCGAACGCATTTATTACTTGTATAATTATATTCTTGCACCTCTTACAAAACCCATAAATGCGAACAATCATAATATCATGGCAAACACCCTCTTTTAAAGGAATCAATTATGCAATGACATTATTGCCCTACTCAAATGAGTATTATAGAAAGGAAGCAAAAGACTAGAAAAAGGACGAAAGGGTCAACTAAGGGGGCGTTTGGTAAGAGGGTATCGAATTCGGGGAATGGAATGAACCCCATAAATGGTGTTTGGTTCACTGGAATGGGAATTGAAATCTTAGAATGATTTCTAAAAATTTGGTGTTTCTCCATTCCCAAGTATTTTGGTGGGTTTTGTCCGATTCCCAAGTTTGATTCCAAGAAACAAATCCAATTACATATTATAATTATACAATGATATAATTAATATTTATATTTATTATATATGATAATATATACATATATATAATATATTATAATTATAATATTAGTACATTATATAAATATATATTATAATTATTTAGTTAAATATAATTATATTCATATAATATATATTATAAATTTATTAATATTATATAATAATATATTTATAATATATATGTATATTTATAAATGCATATTATTTGTGCATATGATTATAATATACACATGTATATAATATTAATAAATTGTATAATTATAATTATAATTATATTTATTATTTTAAATACAATAATATATAATAATTACTATATCTAATATTAATATGCATTATACTTATATAAAATATGAGTACAATTAATATTTATTTATTATATAATTATAATTATGTATTTATTTTATAGCATTTGTATAATTATAATTAATTATATATATAATATTTAATTTAATTAGTTACAAACTTATAATAATGATGTTATTGTATTATATAATTATATATTATAATTATTTAGTTAAATATAATTATACTTATATAATATATATTATAAATTTATTATTATTATATAATATTATATTTATAATATATATGTATATTTATAAATGTATATTATATGTGCATATAATTATAATATATACATGTATGTAATATTAATAAGTTATATAATTATAATAATTATTATTTTAAATATAATAATATATAATAATAACTATATTTAATATGTAATATATATTATATTTAGGAGGTGTTTGGTTTCGGAATCATGAGTCTCGTCCTGAGTTTGGGTTTTGGTCCTATTTTTCTTAAGAGGTGCTTGTTTCACATATTAGAATCGAAAATTGAAATGGAATCATAGACTCTGGTTTTGGAATTAAACTTTTCATTCCAATATCTAGTTTGGTTCACACATTGGAATTAGCATCATTCCAATTCCTGATACTTGGTTTAATGAGTGTTTCGGAATTAAATGCAATTAAATTTCAAATATACCCATGGTATAACAATTCTTATAAAATAAATGGTTAATTGCAAAAACCTCTATTGAGGTTTCTGACACTCCCTTAAGGTTTCAAAACAAACAAATTCATTCTAAATTTTGGTTTGAGGTAATTTCATAAACCAAATCGCGGTCACTTTTTGTAAAGTATCACTTTCCCATAAAAAATCAGCTCTTTATGGATTTCCTCCATTATAAGAACAGAGTACCCATTTTTTCATAAACAAATTTATTTATCGGATAAAATAAAAATAAATTCATTTTCCAATAAAATACCGACTCTTTATGATTTTTCTCAATTATAAGAACAGAGTATCCTTTCAAAAAACAAACGGGAAACCGCAAAAAACGTAAACAATGAGAGCCTCCAAGAAGTCAGAGGGGGTCTGCACAGTTTAGTCCTTGGATTTGTTCTCTTCTGAAGATGGCCGATTCTCCAAGTCAGATTGTCGGACCTCTTCAATCATCCTAACTGCTTCATCCATGTTTGGTCGCATGTCTGGCACCTTGGCAACACATGCCATGGCTATTTGCAGCATTTGCATAATTTCTTCTTCAATATTTTGGAACCTCATCAACTCGACATCAAAAACTTCGGCTGTCCATTCCTTCCTGACAACTGATTGGACCCACCTTGGGAGATCAACCATGTCATCCCGTCATGGAGACTGAATTGGTTGTTTTCCAGTTAGCATTTCCGCAATTTTTTCAAATCGTAAATTCTACCTTAGTATTAATTATAAGAGAAATTTGGGTGGAGGGTTTTTTTCAATTTTTTTTAGAGATCTTTCTCATGGAGATCTTGTTGAATAATTTACCCACTGAAGATATTTGCCCACTATTAATCTATTTACATTTACTTTAGATCTTTTTTTTTCAAGAGATTTTGGATTACAGATGAGGACTATATGATGAAGAAGAAGAGATAGGAAAACTGATAAAAAATAAGAACAAAAAAAGCGGCGTATGATGGAGAGAAAGAGAGGGTATAGGAGTTTTGTATGTGATAGGTAGGTCCGTCATAAATGTTGTCCGGGGGAATTAGTTGAGAGTTTTGTCCAAAACCTCCCAATTTGTTCGGGAATGGGATAAGTCCCATTTTTTAGAAATGATTCAAAAAATTACATTCTAATAGGCTTAACCGAAGCAACAAATAAGGGGTTTATGCCATTATGTGATTTTCAAATCCTTTAACCAAACAGCCCCTTATTTGTTTGGTTTAGAAGTGGAATAGGTTTTATTCTAATCAAAAGTTAATAAATTTGAAACTTAATCTATAAATGAAGAATGCTATGGGACAATATCTAATACTTTCATTTTCATTGAATGATTTGTATGATAGTTTACCAAATTATAAGCATGAGTGTTGAAAAGATTTTGATTTAATAATTAAAGATTGAGACCATAAAAACTAGAAACCTTGAATTCAAATTTCCTTTACCCTTACTTCATTGTTTCTTAAATTCTATCCCTTGAGCTCATTCACCAAGCACTCCAACAGAGATATGTCTAGCACATAGTAATTTGTTCCTAACAAATTAGGACTACTATTAACAAATTTCCCTCTTATGTCTATTTTCACTGTCTATACCTAAGGCTCCGTTTGGATTAACTGTTTTTGAAAAATTTTACTGTGGCAGAGTTTTTAGAGTATATTTTAGAATATTTTTTTAAAAAATTTTGAAATATTTTAAGAATAGTAGCATTTTAAAAATATATTTTAGGATATTTTTTGAATATTTTAAAAAATTTAGACTACTTTTTAGAGTACTTTTTAAAAAATTTTATAGTATTTGAAAAACTAATTTTTGAAAAACTAGTGGATCCAAATAGAGCCAAATATTTTGTAAAACCTTTAGGTTCGTGATGATAATTCTAAAAATGTCTATATGCTTCTTTATAATACTTATTTCCTTCTAAATTCATTAACCAATGAACCAGAAATCTTGTCGAGGGCTTTGATACCACTATTCACTAAAGAATTGTGAAGATATTCAACTCCGGTATTGCAAATAACAAAGCGATTATAAAAAAAGAAGAAGGCCCAAGGCCGAACGGATTCAACGGCCCACAACCACCAATTAAGAGTAGTTTGGGTAGGGCCGGAGATGTTGTAAATCACTCTTAATACTAGTAATTGTTGGCAGGAGTGCTCCTACAGTCCTACCTATTACAGTATTACTGTCCAGTCTGCTTTGGAAGATCCGTCATCAATGGAATCCACGGGCGAAAAGCCGAAACTTACTAGTAGCAGTATTTACTGGGTCTCTTGTACCGATTCGCCCGAGTTCACCCACCTGAGTTGGTGTCTGACTCACTCCGCTGTCGTCGGAATCGACGCCGAATGGAAGCCCCACCGCAGCCGCCAATCCACCTTTCCCACGGTCTCTCTCCTCCAAATCGCATGCCGACTATTCCCGGACTCCAACGAGTCGCCGGTCTTCCTTCTCGACCTATCCGTACTTCCTCTTCCCTCAATCTACGAATTATTGAGCAACGCATTTGTATCCCATGATATTCTCAAATTAGGTTTTAGGTTCAAACAAGACTTGGTATATTTATCGTCCACTTTCTGTTCTCAAGGCTGCGATCCTGGTTTCGATAGGGTGAGTACGGTTTTCATTGTACTTTTTCTCTTTCCCCTCCAAATTCTGTCTATACTTTTCACCTCTTTTATGTTTGAGTTTTTGGCTGGTCAAGGTAATGCATTTATTTTTTCAATTTTTGGCTGATGAAGGTAATACATGCTTTTTAAAAGGGTGGGATTTTTCTCATGCACGTTATTTGGACCAAAATTGCTCCTGCTATATAGCGAATTTTTTTTGGCTGACATTGTTGTTATTTTTCTGGATTGTACGTGGCTTTTACTTGTTTTCTTGGTAGAGAACATAGTTCAGAGGATGAAATAGGTTAGATTAACGATGTTGCAGACTTGCAGTTACCCTTTTGCGTTGATATAATTTGTGATACCATTTCACTGATAATTGGTCAGAATAGGTGGAGCCTTTTCTAGATATTACAAGTGTGTACAGCCATCTACAGCACAAGCAATCTTCAGGAAGAAAGGTACCAAAACAAAGCAAGAGCTTGGCAACCATTTGCCAAGAAGTGCTGGGTGTTTCACTTTCAAAGGTTCGAACATTACCAACGGCTTTGCCATTGGCTCCATTCTCAAGTTTTATTATTGTGTTTGATTGCATTTTCGGGAATTTACATAGTGTGATGCATATGCTTTAGGAACTTCAATGCAGTGATTGGTCGCACCGTCCTCTTAGCGAAGAGCAAAAAGCGTATGCAGCTGCTGATGCTCAGTGTTTGCTTGATATATTTAATGTCTTCCAAGCAAAGGTTGAGAAAGAAGGTTGGGCGCCCTTAATGTGACTATTCGCTACTGTACATTCTTGGGTTAATCTCATCATGTAGAGGTCACCTTTGAAGTTAAATGCATAGCTACTTTCAAGTGTCTGTTGACTGTTAATATGATGTGTGGACGCATGAACCATTGACGTTTATTTCAACGCAGATAAATTATCATTTTTCTCATTGAGCTTTCTTAATTGTGTATAGACAAAAATCTCATGTTCTTGATTTCTTATCTGTATCAATGCTTTCTTAGTTATCTGGTATTAATATATTGGGCTATTAGTTGCAGGGAATTCTTTTCATAGGTCATCGAACTTTAACCTTGGGTTGAAGCAGATTCTTGAGATTTCTAATTGTTGTCAGACGGTCCTAAGGAAAAATGTCTCTGAAGCTTCTAATGTGATTCGAGCTACTATGTCTGAGTTCCCAGGTAGAATTCCTGCTATTGAGGCTAAAGCCTCTGAGAAATCAAGTGGATTTACCAAAGAAATGGATGTCATCCTCTTGCGTATTGCTAGAAAATATGGTGACAAAATTTTGTTGAAGGACTCTGACAGGAAACCTAAAATGTCCAAGAAGAAAGGAAAAAGGTCATCTGCAGGGATGACTTACAAAGAAAGACTCGTGCAAAGTGTTGATGATTGGCAAGGGCCTCCCCCATGGGATCTTTCAGTGGGTGGTGATGGATGCCCCAAATTTCTCTGTGATGTGATGGTGAGTTGGAAAGGTTCTTCTTTTCAATTTGTAGTAGCTGAAACTTTTTTGCTTAGATTTTGTTAAGGTTAACTAGATGATGGTACGTGATGGTCCTGGTGTGTACTCCTGTATGCATAGGTGGAAGGCTTAGCAAAGCATTTACGTTGCGTTGGGATAGATGCTGCTATTCCGCATTCAAAGAATCCTGGAACTAGGTGATTGTTCAATGAACGATCTTGGTGATTTTCAAAAGAAGTTTTGGAGTATGTATCAGCAGCAGAAAATGGAGACACGGTTCCTTAACTGCTTTTCATTTTTTTTTTCAGGGATTTGATAGACCAAGCAAACAAGGAAAAGAGGGTGCTTTTAACTCGGGATGCGAAGCTTTTGACACATAACTATCTGATAAAACATCAAATATACATGGTCAAAAGTCTTCTGAAAAATCAACAGCTACTTGAGGTAGATCTCCAACATTTTTTGGGAATATAATTCAGCTTTCCCCAACCCTACTTCTTATCCAAACAACAGGAAACAACAATTTTGATATTCATTTTTTTTATTGTTCGCCCATCAAGGTTAATGTTACATTTTTAGTGCCATCTCCTGGAGAATGAAAATTGGTTGACTGCAGGTAATCAAAACTTTTCAACTGAAAATTTGCGAGCATCAGCTAATGTCAAGGTGCACTAAATGCAATGGGAAGTTCATCCAAAAACCCTTAACAACTGAAGAGGCTGTGGAAGCTGCCAAAGGATTCCAAGTGATTCCCAACTGCTTGTTTAACAAGAATCTAGAGTTTTGGCAGTGTGTGGACTGCAATCAACTTTACTGGGAGGTATTTTTTTTTTAAATGCATTTTTTGGGTTCCATCTCATATCCCCCCCCCCCCGGCGCGCAGGGCGCGGGGGCGCTCCCCTTCTTTTTTGTTTTATTATCTCTTTCATCTATGTCAAGATCTACTTCATAACTTTGAAGCAATCAACCTGCAAAGTTCTGATTCTATGGAGGTCTTGTGTGTTAGTGCAACAGTGGATTCCATTCCAGCATTTTCTTGATTAAGGAATTTTTGTTTGTAAGATATTGTTTATTATTTTTTTTATCTTTCCTTCAAATGAAGATACATGTACATTGCATTGTGCCGAAAATGCCATCTTTACTTGTTTTAATTTGATCACTGAGTTCATTTCAATGGATTCAGGATGCTGTTCCTTAATTTGGATCCTTTCTATGGTTAAAGCAGAAACTTCTCTATTGCATAGTGTATTGTATAATTCATACCATATCCTCCTGCTCCATCTTTGCTGGAAGCTGTGTCTGCTGCGTTTGGTTTTAGTAGCTGTAGTGCTCCCAAAACATGACGGGATGTGCATGTGCATGGAGTTGCAATCTTGTGGATAGAGTTTAGAACCCATCTTTAGTCAGTAGTATCATACCAGTATTGGTTCAATGCACAGCATTTTTTATCTGAAATTCCTGTTATACAGAGCTTCCATAACCCTCCATTTATTGCATGAGTACTGATATTTAAGCTGAAATTTGAGTTAAATTGTGTGGATAAAACATTCAGCATCTGTGGCTTAGTGAAGTGATCTCCAGTAGCATTGCTCACATGTAGTTTTGTACACATTCTGTTGTCACAGGGAACCCAATATCACAATGCTGTTCAGAAGTTCATTAACGTGTGCAACCTAAATGAATAGCTCAAAGCCATTTGATTTGATGATCAAACAAAAGGCAACCATGCTTCTGTCGTGGAGAAAACAAAAGGCAACCATGATAAATCGAAAGGCATTGTGATTTAATGATGACAGTGCTGTTCAGAAGTTCATTAACGCGTGCAAACTAAATGGATAGCTCAGTGCCATTTGATTTGATGATCAAACAAAAGGCAACCGTGCTTCTATAGTGGTGAAAAAAAAAAACTGAATAAAAGTTTTGTTATCTTCTCTCTGGCTCAAGTTCTATTGACTTCTTGTTACTTCGTATGTAATGGGCTGCAATCCTCCCCAGAACCCACCAAAAAAAAAAAAACTTTTCTGTAGCAGTCCGCCTGTAACAACTTATTGTAAAAAGTAGCTGTTTGGATTGTAAAAAGTAGATGGTGTAAATTTTTTGGTGTCATACACATCCGTTGAATGGCTCCATCACCTTTTACTCTCTTACATTCTGTAAGTGGGTGTGTGTCCAAATAATACTCTCACTATCAGTCTAACACTCCCATATTGTGACATGGATGTTTTTATTTTGTTTTTGACTTTTTCCCCTTCTGTTCCCCCCGGTGGTTTCCTGGGTGTATCTAATATCTGTAGATTGGTGGGGAAGGGATTGCTTTATCTGGAAGCTTAATCCTGGTTAATAATGAGAGGCGCTTCTTGTAGATCATTAATTGTAATGCGCGGATTAGCATTATAGATGTATAATAGTGTGGGGGAAAATGGAGTTGAATAATGGCGTTGGAGCATTGCTTATTATTCTTTTGATTGATAATTTAAAATGGATAAACAGCTGGTTATGAAGAATCAAGAATGTATTCCTTAGCCCATTCAGCTTGACTTGCGGATCAACTTTCTGTCAAAGCAATACATCATGTCGTCAAAAGCACAATGAAGACCTACTATAACAAGCGTTTTGTTTGGTAGGCAAGCATTATGCAATATGGCAAGTGTTATTTAAAAGATAGAGACAGGCTTATGTGTGGACTGGACTCGGAGAAATAGAGAGATGGGAAAAAGCAAAAGGACCCACACGAAACTCTTTGTTGGTCGGTGGGTCCAGCTCCGTCGGATCATTTTTCAAGTTATCGACTTTTCGGACGTTAAGACAAATGTTTTTTTTTTTTTTTTTTTGAAGGAAAACGTTAAGACGAATGTGGTGGAAGGAGGAGGCATCCATCTTCATTAAGGTTTATTGTGGCGCTGTGTCTTTTGTTTCGATGCACATCCTTGTCCGGATGTTTGATTGTTTTCACGTTGAACATTGGCGTTAAGTAGTACTTTTGTATCCTTGTCCAGATCTTCTCCCTGTTTTTCCCCATTTCCCCGGCGACCAATGAGAGAGAACCTTCAACAACGAAATGTGGAATTTTTCTGAATTTTTTATAAAAAAATTACTGTAATAATTTGATATATTTGAGGTAAAAAATTAATTAAAAAGTATGTTCATAAAAAAAATAGTAAATTTTTTTTTTAGAAAATTGCAATCCAAACACACCCTTATTAATTTCCCTTAGTTACATAGTAGTAGTATTTTATCTAGCCGGGTAATTCACTGCAAAATAAGAGTTACAAAGGAATTGTGAATAGAACAATTAACAAATGCTTGCTTTCCCCAACAAAAAAATAAAAATGGTGAACTTTATTAAATATGCTGAAGAGATTTATTTTTAACCTTCCTGCCTTCCCCCAACAAACTTGACAGCCAGGTTCGATATGCTGAAGAGATAGCGTTTGGATTGCTGAATTATCCCGAATAATGGCCTCGTTTAGCAAGTGAGTTTTTTAAGTGTTTGTCTAAAATTTTACTGTAACTTACTGTAAAAGTTGTAGAAAAATTTTTTTGAAGTGTGTAAATTTTTGGATATTTTGAAGTGTATATTTTAAAATTTTTGAGAAGTTTTTTGAGATTATTATAGCTAAAGTTATTAAAAAACTTGTAGCAGACAAATTTGACCAAAAACTTGCTTGCCAAATAAAACCAATATTTCGCTTGCATTATAAACACATTTATTTATTTATTTTTTTAAAAATATATTTTCAATCATTTTTTTTATCTCACATACATATATTACGTAAAGTGTTACAGTAATTATTTTAAATAATATTTCAAATAATACTCTGTCTAAACACACTCTTCAATTTAAAGTGATAAAAAAATGTGTTAATAATGTAATAAAATAATAACAAAATAAATGGCTATCCATAAGAAGTTGGACGGGACTATGGATCTCGTGTTCCTGGGCTTCCGTCCTGCTGCTAGGCTCGTACGAAGAATATTTGGAGAACTTTCGTTGCTGTTCTGTCCTGGCGTTTGACGCGGAGCAACTGGACTGACGGCGGCTCAGCTCACGTTCCGTCATTATTCCTCAGATTGTTGGATGTCTGGCGATAGATGGAGCGGACAGCCCCCTCTTCAGTGTTCACTACTGAAGAGTAAAGGGTAAGGATTGGATTAGGGCCGCCCAAGTCCCATGTCCCAACTCAACACGCCGCACACGCTCCGATGGGACCAAACGGGACTTCTACAAATCCAAATATTCTTGCTCGGTACCGAACGTTTCGTTTTCTCATTGGTTCCATGTGGGGTCCAAAATTCTTTCGGTGTTGACACTTTTTACCACGTTTGTTCCTTCTTTTAGTTTTAACAAACAAATAATAATAATAATAAGAAAGGCAATAAAATTTAGGAAAAATATTTCCTCACATATTATTGATTCTTATATCTTTTATGTCTCTCACATGTACAATGATAATTTTTCTTCCCTTACACATACTGACTTTGTACCTTTTACGTCACTCACGTATAAAATGATATGATGATTTTTTCATCTTTTACAAATAAAAAATGCACATATTTAGTCATTCGACTCATTTCTAATTATATTTTTGTTAGAATTAAAAGCGCATGAAACTCATGCTTCACAAATTTTAATGCTAAACCAAAAGGCCACGAGAAAGAAAGGAAAAACGTCTCTCACATTTCGTTCTTCTTCGTTCTATTTTTCTAACCAAGAAAGAGGCATCAGCCATGGCTGCATCCAACAGCCGCTGTGCTCGTGGTGTCACCGTTGATCGGTACCATTTTCGATTTAAAAAATTTCATCAAAATTCAACTCCCCTTTCATTTATATTTCTGGGAAGTATATAATGTCTTCCAAAGTAAGTTTACACTGTTAAATTTTATGTTCCAGCAATGTTACACTTCTCAATTTTCCGAGGTATATACTTAATATTGAAAATTAATTTATTCATTGAAATGTATTGTCATTTAACACACTAAGCACTGCTTAATTTTCTGTTCAAAATTTTAAAGTAAAAATATATTACTGAATTTGCTGGATTAAGCACCCTCTCACATAACATATTCTCATGCACGTTAGACATCTTCTCTCTTCCTCTTCACACACACACACACACACTCTCACACACTAATATACTTAATCACTACCTTTCAATTGTTTCGTTATCTTCACTCTCATATACTTTACAAACTCTCCCATACGCAAATAAAGGCAACCTTTTTAAAAATAAAATCATCATATTGTGCTATATATCAATTCAGCATTTGAGCTTAGTTTGTTATTAAACAAACATGACTTTGTCAATGCAAAACTTTCAACAATTTATATTCAGATTTCAAATTTTACTTTTACCAAACAGAACTTAAGTGTGTAGTTCGTTATCTACCCTTTTTCCTTTGCTACAAAAAAAAAAAAAAAGAAAAAAGAAAGAGAAAAGAAAAGAAAAGAAAAAGGATGTGGGTAAGTTAGCTCAAAAACATCGTACTCAGGCGGAAATCCTTTCCGTCTTAAAAAGAACCAATCTCTAACATAACCACTAAAAACTTATTCCCAGCGTACGTAGAGGTCGTCGCCGCTTCCAAACTGTACCTATGACCCTGGATTCTAATTTCTAAACCAAGTAGACAGTGAAGGAGAATTTGGAAAGATGGCCTGTCAATATTGTGCTGCAAAATGATTTTAATGGTCGAGGGTTGCTGCACATTCAAATTACGTAAGCGTACCTTTTCCTTAACAATGCACTTACATGAATATGATTTTTCAATATTTTAGACCAGCCGAAACATTAATTATTGTCAACCCGACCACGAATTATTTCGAATATGTCTCAGCTTTAGCGATCTAACCTTAAGTAGCTGAAAAAGTTGTTGGTTGCTCTGCTCCTTCAAGAATGAGTCAAGCTAGCTAGGGCTCTTTTGTGTGGACTGTGGAACATAAGTACTCGTACAGGAGTAGTCTAGATGTCATTCAGGGTCTTGTGTCCTGTTTGCTTGTTTTGGGTTGTGCTATAGAAGCACCATAAATAAAGGAAGAGCTTTCAACCACTACAAGTGCGCCTTCTAGTTATGAATACTACTCCTGAATTTGCTCTCATCCATTGCTGGCCTCACAGGAAAGCAATTATACACCATCTCTTGCATTGGACAGGAAATTGTTTCGTATACATGGACATCTTACAGGGCAAATTAGGCTATACAGTGGAGATGGGAACAGTTGAAGCCTAGCATGGACAAAAGAACAAGGAACCTAGCTATCTGAACCTGAACTGACGGTCTCTTCCCCATATAACAATAACAATAGTAGCAAAGCTGACCATCTGCTGATTCTCCAGTGACTGAAATCAGTTGTCAGAAGGGATCTACCGAAAACACTTGGTGGGTAAACTCGATTTATGTAAACTTTGTGATCCAAATTTTATTACACCCTCGCATGGCAAAATATGGGCTGTATTGTAGATCAACCCAAGCTTTTGCCTATTCACAATACATCCAATCTTTTTTAAAAAAATAAAAAAAATTTTTGTTGGGGCAAGGTGCAAACAGACCACTTATATAAGTGCAACATTGAGCAATACATTTGACAAATTTGACAAAAAAAAAAAGAGTATACGTTTGACAAATTATGTATCTATATGCTCATGAGGTGTCTTCATTAGAGTATGCGAAGTCTTCAATAAAGTATAGTCTACCAATAGTACATAAAAAACTATCACTAAGTTGTCTCTCTCCACTCTCTCATATGCATATGCATATTGTAAGCCAACGCATGAAAGCACAAACATAAGCTTCGCATCAAGTGGCTTTTTCTTGCTTTAAGACCGAGTGGTGGAAAGTGGAAAGTGGATGATTTTCCTCTCTTTCTTTCAAGACTCTCTGCATAGCCTTTGCCTTTTTCTCTCTATCTTTTTCTGCCTCTTAATTTCTCAATGGATACTACTCAGTGGCCACAGGTAAAAGACACATCTATATGTTTTCCGCTCTCTCGCTCTTATATCATCATAACATCTTTATAGGGATGGGATTTTCAAGGGCTTTTTTTAGAAAATTTTTTGCTTTCTATGTAATATTGAAATTCTTGCATACTTTACTACTGGCTAGAGAGATGAGATGATAAGCACCCGCCACTAATGGTTGAATTTTGAGTGATTGTTTTGCTAAATTTTGCTGCCTTTGAATTGTTTCTTTCGTATGTGTCTGAAAGTACTACGACTGCAC